AAGAGGAGAGTGCATTTCACATGCTGATTGGATCCTTGATGAGATCTTCAGGGTGGCTTCTCGCACCACGATGCTCTTCACTCACCAGAGGTGATGAGAGGAGGAAAGGGGGGGGGGGGGGCGTCTGCAAAAGTGGGATAAAACCAGTTTTGTCTACGCAGAAGTGGTCAGCTTCATTTAACACATGGTCAGGGGTGTATTACAGAGACAGCGGAGTGAAAGAAGAGGAGCACACACACCACACAAACATCTATGCTACTAAATTATCTTAAAACCATGAATAACGCAGCTCTAAAGTGGAGATATGTGACTCAGAAAAAGAATGATTTTAGGATGAATTCAGATCCGTTTGTGACTTCGGTTCAGTTTTGTGCTTCGAGTTCTGCCCAACAAAGTTTCATTTATGGAAGAGACCTGGTTGTTTTCTACCAACAACAGCTGTTACATCCCCATAACTTAAAAATGTAACAGTTATGAAAAAGTAGTATCTTACCTGCTGTAGATAGGTTTTGAAGGGCCTCAGTTTGAAGATTTTAAGCAGAGTCGCAAARCAACAAAGTGCAAATACTTCATTAATGTACGCGAGTAGAAATTTGGGTTATATGTACTTTATTTGAGTAATTATTTTTGCAGACTTTTTACTTCTATCCTCTAGATTTTCACACATTTATCTGTACTTTCTACTCCTTACATTTTTAAAAACAGCAAGAAATAGAAAGTCGTTGTTTTACTATTTGATTTTGGCTTGTTTTACTTACGGCTTGTTATGGTAYGTTCACACCGAATGCGTTTTGAGCGGCAGGAGCGGCCTATTTACATGCAAAGTCTATGAGGACGTGCCTCTAGGGGTCATGCGTCGCGTCACGTACATTATGGGCGGCGTGCAAGGAAGGTGGAAGGGGCGCAGAGCGTTTTCTGCGCATGCGGTGCTGCGGAAGCCGCCGCCATCCGAGCCGCCGCCCAAGCCGCCTCCCGAGCCGCCGCCACAGTTCAAATATCTGAACTTTTCGCCGCTTGACGCGTCTCCCACTGAAAACCGAAACAGACTGGAGATCTTTACCTGAAATCGACTGTGTGCAGTTGGATTTTCTGGCAGGATATATCAACACCAATGTGAATCAGCTGCTCGGGACCAAAAACAAAAACAAAACAACAAAAAAAAAAAAAACCAGTACGTCGGCTGGCAGCTTCTGGAGTGACGAAACTAACCGAACAAATCGCCTCTAAATCATCTGGTGAGTTAATTATCTGCTGTGCGCAACGTTCGCTTGTTCTTTAGTAAATAAATCAAAGCCATTTTCTTTTATTTTATCTTTATTCACCTGCCGAGGACACGCTCCTCCCACACCTCGCTGCTGCTGCTTGTTCTGGTCTGAACACTAGTGCGTTCTCGGTGTGAAAATAGTGCGTCCAACGAGAGACGTTTTGTGCTTTTTGGCCGCTCAAAACGCGTTCGGTGTGAACGTAGCATTATTGTTAAAAAAAAAACTATCCTGATAAATTGGGCCTTTTGGATAGAGTGAATTTACCGTAAATGTGTTTGAATGAGAAATATAAATACAGTATATAAATCCTGACACCTACTGGTTTGTAAAATACATTATACTTGTATGACACAAATCACGGCACACTCCCTCAGGACACATCAGACGTAGGTAGCAATATGCTGACGAAACAGGAAGCCTGGTGCATCCCAAGGTTTTCAATTTTAACATTTTATTTTAAGATTTTAGTCATTATGGCCTTTAGAAAACCTCACAATAAATGTCATTTTGGACATTCTAACTTTTACTCAATATTTTTACTTTTAATACTTGAGTACATTTTATATACAAAATTTTTTTTGGATACTAATAAATGTCAGATAGTTTAAGATTTTTACTCATGAGTAAGTAATATTCTTAGAGAAGACTCATCTTTTACCAAAGTAATTTTATAGTACGATATATAGCACTTATAGTACTTTTTCTCAACTTTTACTTTGAGGTACTTTATACGAGACTGGTTTTAAGTATAATTTGGACTGGACTGATGAGCTCATGGCTAAATGGAATCAAGTGGATCACTAAAAATAATCCATTAAAACAAAGTAATTGCATTTTCTGTGAAAATGCAAGTTGAATGCTTCATGCTGAATGATTTTTGTTGAATAGCTAAAACAGCTTCAAATGGCCTAAAAATACCTTTAAAAAGTAGCTGCAATTAGCACAAACAAGCAGAAAGAGCAAATTTGCTGAATTATTCAGTAAGAAGTTGAAATTAAAACAAAAAGGTGAATTTAGATGAAAAATCTCAAATTTGCTAAAAGGATGATGAAAAAATGAAAGATGAAATTAGCAGAAAGCAGCTGAAAGAAGCACAAAGAGTTAAAAAAGCAGAACAAGAACAAAAGGTAAAAAGGTCCTGATGCATCTGCGGAATGTGAACGATGGCCATGTGATGTGAGTATCAGTCACCTGTGAGTCATAGCCAGGTGATGTGAGTGGGAGTCACCTGTGAACGATGGTCATGTGATGTGAGTATCAGTCACCTGGAGGCAGGACATAAAAGCTTGAATTTTGCCTGAAACTCTCAGACTGAAGAAGTCTCTTGGAAGAGAGACGAAACGTTTCATTAAAGAAGAACCCGTCCAGAGGACCTATATATTTTTTTTTCCTTTAAAAGGTAAAAAGGTAATTTAAGCTTTCTGAACATTTTGAAGTTTTAAGGTTGAACACAGCTTCATTCCATTTCAATGTAAAAATCATGCAGAAAAAGCTAAATATCTCAAATAATATAAATAGCAGACGTACCAAATGTCAAAGCCTGAATGTCCTGAAGGAGCTGAATGTTCTGATATCAAATGTTTTGAAATGGCACAAAAATTGCAGAACAAGATCAGTGCCGAAAAACATTTGGGAGAAAAAATGTTCTCAACGGTATAAATGATTTATAAGCATTCACACAATTATTGATAAAAAACTCAACAGAATACATAAATTTATAAATAAGGCTATTGTTTTAACAACACAGCTCATGATTAGCAGATTGATTGTTATTAGTTCTGTTTGTATGAAAAGAATTAACTAATGTAGTTTTGTTTCTGGAAAATTTCATCTGTGCTGCATGAACAGCAGTTTGCTCTCTTATTGAAATGTAGCGATAAAACAACACAAAGTAATAAAACAAAAAACAAAATTATCCATTACAGCAACTTATCAAGTGAAACAATTTTTACAAATTACCCATTCATGTGGAGAAAAAAAGCCTCTAAATTTGGTGGTGTTATTAATTGGAGTCCAGGATAAAAAAAAAACAAAAAAACATTTGATCTAAAAACGCAGCGACTGCAAACTTGACTGTTTTGTTTTGTGTCCTTCTGAAAATAATCTATCTTTTAATCCTAGATACTTTTGTTTTAATGGGTTAATTTAACGGCGATTGTGATCTCAGCTTTACAGAACTAAGAGAATAATTGCAGGAACAGCTTGCCTTGGCCTCAGCAGGAGCGCGTGCTTTCAGCGTCAGATCATTAATTTTGTGCAAGAATCCAATTTTTTTTGTAGCAAAAACACAATTTTCCTAAAGATCATGTTTTGGGTTAAAGCTGTAAACTTACAGCGTGCGACACCGGTTATCTTGCCCTCAGTGCAGCAGCAGTGAATAAAAGCCTGGCCTATGAAATCCAACGTTTACTGAACCAATTTAGTCTTGTATATTTTTTGAGGTATCGCCAAAGGACACAGCACAACTTCCACAGACCCTCTTGCTCCTTTCCTCACATGCAGACGAACGCGGCCCCCACACACTCCCGTGCGCGCACACCCGCAGACGCGTACGTCAAAAGGCGGCGCTGCTAGTAGTAGTAAACATTCGAAAGGAACAGGGGTAATTCACTTGATAAATGTCAACCGAAATGAAGCTATCAGCTGAAAGCAATTTCCTTGTGCTTGCCTGTGTTCTGCGCCAGGGACTTGGGAGTTTTTCTGCCCCTCCATCGATCATGAAGCCTCTGTTTTAGGCCAAGGTACACAATGCCCTCAAATTGCTGACATATGGACCTAGAATCGCCACAAAAACCTGCCATTTCCACCCCACCCTCCTCTGTTCCCGGCCCATCCACTCCTCTGCTAAACCCTTGTTTATCCAATGACTCTGGTCTGTTTAGACCATTAAAGCACAGCCACAGACGGAGGCAGGACACTCGTGAAAAAGTCCTACAGCTCCTTTCTTTATCATAAAGGCTGCAGAAAAACGCCCCCGAGGAGACCACCGTGAAATCGCCGATGAAGCCATTCCTAAACTTGATGTCGAGGATTCAGAAGGCACGGCAATAAAAAAATAATAATTAGTAGTTTGCGGACTTGCAATCGTCAAATGACTTGTGTGGCTGTGAGATCAAGTGTGTGGGCAAACTTAAAATAAAGTTTGTCTGACTTGCGGGGAGCCCGTGACCAGTAGCAGACTGAGCAAAACAAATCTGGATAAAGACGATGACACCGACCGCATAATGGCACGGAAGGCCTCGGGCTGGTGTAAACAGCCGACAGATGAAAGCAGAGCCGAGAACGTTCCTCTGGCCGACATTTTTTCAACAACTACTTACGCTGAAATTCTTTGTTTAAAAAAAAGAAAGAAGTTATTTAAAGACAAAGGAGGCCGGCATTAAAAGCCTCGTTTCCTAATGGATGATTATGGTGCCAGCAGCCAGGGCCCGCAAGTCTCTGCACAGGAAAAGTCCATTATCACTCCAACTAATGGAGCAAAGGAGTGTGTGTGTGTGTGTGTGTGTGTGTGTGTGTGTGTGT